AGACAAGCAATCCAGCCTTGCTCCTTCCAACCCATGGTCCGTCTTTCAGAGGGAGCTAAACAGTCCTGCGTTAAAGGCGCGAGTGATACATCCAACCCAGTAGTTGTAGAAAGAGTTGTGGGCGGTCACTAACTCACAGTGGAGTTTCAGTGAGAGGTAGCCCAAACTTTGCTTTCATTAATGTTCCTGAAACAAATGGTATGGTGCTGTTGTTGTTGTTTTCTTTTTATAATGGCATGCACTTTGACTGAGTCAAATTAAACTCTGAGAAGAGCTAAGGTCATTTGCAGATCCTTTATTTAAAATTCTTGAAACGGATTATTGCAGTGTTGCCAATACAGTAGAAAACAGACAGCTATGTGCAGATTATAAGTGGATTTAATAGAAGGGCCACTGTCTCTGGAGGAACAACACTGAAGCTGTATTGGCAGGTTTGGACACAGGCCAGCAGGCCATCAGAGCATGGACCAGTAACCGGCAACAGAGCCCCATGCCCGGTTTGACTGAAACATTATGTAAAGGACAATATCACAAAGCACTGTACCATACACTAATCATTTGAGGCATGTGCTGAGGCTATCAGACTCATCTCCAGTTGGGATAATGAGAGTCATGCCGGTACAGTAATATGCTTCAACTTGGAGCTGTTTTTGAGATGCTTAGTGAACCGTCCAACTCTTCGGTCCACAGTGCTCTGACAGTTGGTATCCACGGTCCCCCACAAAGGGTTTTTGCAAATGTTTACCATCACTCCAAAATGCAGACTCCTCCACTGCTGTAGCTCTTAAAGTATCTTCAATGACAAATTAACTCCAAGACCTAGAATGATTTCCAAAGTATCTGATATGTTTAGACAATGTTTCTGTGGTTTTCTCATAAATACCACCAGGAGGAGATTTCTTTAAACAAGACAGTGATTTATGAAGCTGCCTAATGTTGTGATAAAACACCCAACATTAACTTCTTTTTCAAACCTGCTGAGACTGTGTAAATGAAATATTTCTTCTGTTCTCTGAGCTGCAAAATAGTTGCATATTTAATCATCTGGGAATTTACCCAGCTGTATTTATTTATTTAGAAAGAGATCTTGACCCCCCCCAATGTTCAGCACAAAGTTAGGCCGATGATCAAGCATTAGTAATAACTGGCAATGAGTCTTTTCGAGTATGAACGGCCTGTTTAAGGTCACGTCAAAGCATCTCAATCTGATGTAAGTCCAGACTTTGACTAGGCCACTCAAAAACCTCCCCCTGGACTTGTTGATTTATGAACTCTGAACTTAACTGACACAAGTGAGATCTGCAGTTCTTTAGATGTTGTTCTCTGTGCTTTTGTAACCTCCTGAATGGATCATTAAAGGGTTATTGGAATAATTTTGATAGGCTGGCCTTTCCTGGGAATGTTCAAGATGTCGTTCCAAGGTTTTTCCATTTGTAGATAATGGCTCCTACCGTGCTTCACTGAAGTCCCAAAACCTTAGAAATTATACTTCCAAAGGGATCTCAGATGTTGAGATCTCTTAGTCTACTTCAGTCTGACGGACAGGGTCTGTCACACACACACACACACACACACACACACACACACACACACACACACACACACACACACACACACACACACACGAAATGTTTAAAAGATGAAATATTTGATGATCTGAAACATTTAAGTGTAACAAATATGCAAAAAAAGAAGAAATCAGGAAGAGAGCACATACTTTTTCACAGCACCGAACATGCTGTGGTTCCAAGATCAGCAAGACAGTATCCCCCAATATCTTTCTGTTTTTCTACAGCTAAAAGGCGCCACCTCGTGGTCACTTTGTGGGATTTCCATTTGTGGTTTCTAAACGCCTACCCCACAGATTCACATGGCTTCAAAATTAATCTGCATACACCATATTTAAATAACAGAGTGCACTTGTATTTCCTTAACACAGATTTAGATTGTTATATATGGGCTGCAGAGAATGTTATTCATAACAGCACATTGTTTGTAGGAAATAAAATGGATCTCTCTGCGTTTGAATGATGAGACACAATGGACCCTTGTTGGGATATTTACATCAGAGCTGGTGATGCCATTAGCTCTGACTTGTTACTGTCTGAGCGAGTCTGCTTTCTCTTACCAAGTTGCCTAGGAACCAGGCTGGTGTTTGATGTGTCTATAACAGGATGCTGTGGCCTGATAATCAGACTGAAGTGCTATTTCATTATCACTCCAATACTGTTACAGATGAAACCAGAGATGCAGGCAATATGAAGGGCTGCAGGCAGGCTGAAGTAATTCTGAGTGAACAAAGAAACCGATATATACCATGTACAAGGAGGTTTTATGCTATTTGCATAGACTGACAGTACACAGCCACAACAGTGAAACCACTGACTGGTCAGTTTACTGCAATGTTCTGCTGGGAAATGCCTTGAGTCCTGGCATTCATGTGGATGTTACTTTGACACTTACCACCCACCTAAACTTTGGAATGGACTAAGACATCCATCCACACCTCCCACTCCATGTCAGAGCAATGGTATCCCCCAACAGCAGAACAGTTCATCCCAGCACTCTGTACAAACTGCACTGACCTGGCCTAATTAAGACATGCCGTAATTAAGCCTCTTGTCGAATTATACATCTTTGAAGTAAAAATCTATGCATTTATGTTCGCATTTACACAGGCCAAACACAAAATCACATATCTCTGATATTGGAGAGTACCAACCTGTGGTTTCACAGCCAAGGCGGAGGTACTGTAGCTGACGGCATCCTGTTTGGTGTCTGGCTGGCACTGTCCCAGTGTGCTAAAAGATTAATGGATCACAGTGACCTCCATCCTTGACATTCTTCGTGTTCACATGCCCTGGTCTTGTGAAACCAAAACCTTGCTGCTAGGATATTTACCATAACAAACAAACGTCCCTTAGATTTCTGTGCACATTGGGTAAATAACCGATTGGGTCATAAACTGAATTATGTGACTTGCGGTTGGAATTACAGGGAAATGTTACATTTGATTTCATTTTCATTTTTAAAACACAAAAAGTGTTTTATTTGTGACCAGGTGGACTATTCAATGTATGAAAACTATATGAGGTCTTCTGAAACTCAGGATGTAGTTTAAAATGTGGCAGAAAATAATCCTGATGATGTCATGAAAGCCATGGGACTTACTTTTTTAAATGAAAAAGCTACATCGCAAGATGTATCTGTGAAGTTCTAAAATTGTGGGTGTTTTCCAGGCAGGAAAGGTCAAATGAAGAACCGATCTGCTTCATCAAAGCTGTAGCATTCAGTATTTTTGGATCATGACTCATAACAGGAACTAAAAGTCAGGAAACGATCGCCTCTGTAGGATTAGTTCAAACATTTGTTGACCATTTAAAAGTTTGTCTTTCGCCAAGGTTGGCTGTTTCTTTATGATAATTTAACTGTATAAACAGTGTCTTTATACCAACCTATCATACTTTTTTCTTATTTTGTGTCATCAACATACTCTTACAGTGCTGCATATTCATATTAAACATGGAAAAAGTCTACAATAATGACATCAGTGTCTTCTCAGAGAGTCAAAACCTCAGGTTTCAACTGCTCAGACAGACTTTTCTGCTCTGGGATCTAGATCATGTTCAGTATTACACCCTTTATTTAAACAGGATGTCCCCCTTTGATCAAGAAAGAATGTACATAGAAATAGAAAGACACATTATACATAGTTGAGGAAAAGTATGCATGAGAATGATTTCAGATTCATAAATAGATCATTTTGAAATGTTCTGGTAACATCAGAAAATGTAGCTCCATGTTTATTTATTTCTGTATTTGTTGGAGCTCATTCCAGTTACAGGCAGTAAGGTTTCTAAATCCAGTTTTTTGAAGTTCAGTGTGAATAAGAGGCAAAGCTAATGTTAGAAAGTCCTGTGACCTGACGCATTAAAGTGATGTCCTGAAAGAGGCAAACACCTCTGACTGTGAGCACAGCACCGGCGGTTCAAACCGGAAAAAAAATCATTACTTTATTGACCTCATTCAATTCTTGTGTCCTTTTTGTAAATTCAATTTTTGCCCTGTTTTACGATTGGCTTGTCAGTCATCTGTAAGGACCTTTGGACTGCAATAATCTATTAAATATACAAATACATTCTGATTAACTGTAATTTGAAATGAGATAACCTCGAAAGTATGAGGCTCTGTCTTGTAAAGAGGACAAGTGCCAGACGCTAAATAAAAATAACATTTTCCTCCTTTTTGTATGCAAATGTATCTCATTAAGAATAATTAATTCATTAATTACCGTATAATAAGTCTTTAAACTTCATAAAAATTTTAAACCGTAATGTTGATCTGGGATTTACACGTTCTCGTTCAAAACATGAGGTTATTACAGTAAGTAAAACTAGATGCGAATAAAATAAATAAATAAATCGAGTAAAAAGCTTCAGTTTTAATATTTGTTAATTTGGTTAAATTTATTCTCAGAACTTACCTGATGAGGCTTTGGCGGACATGTTCATTACATTGTTTCAGTATAATACCTTTCCAGATTTTCCTGAATCTTACCCCTGACACATTCTCTCCATACATTAACAGGAATTCAATAAAGGAAACAACTAATACTGAAACTAATAAAAACCGAAGTAAAAATATTTTTTACGTACTAAAAACTAAACTGAAACTAAAAAATTATAAAACGTCAAAAACTAGTTACTTTCCACTCTGGAAAGGAACTGAAACTAAACTGAGTAAAAAATAAATACATTTCAAAAAGTCAAAATGAAAGAAAAATAAAAACTGATTAAGGATCCTGACTTTTGTCATTAAACTGTGTGAACAGGAAGGGCAGCTTCCCCTGCGTGATTAATTATACTCTTTTTTTCACTCATCTTGATGAACTGAAGGTAAACACATGTAAACTCTCCCGGGATCTGCGCTGCGGTGGGAAACCCCTCCGCGGGGTTAAAGGTACGGCGACGTGCGTCAGCTGATGCGTCGCGTCGCGTAAACGAGTGAGCAGAACGGAGCGGATGGGGGCGCTGGAGGAGGCTGGTCCTCTCTCGGAGCTCCTGCTTGCAACTCTGAGCGGCTTCCTGCTCTCTCTCCTGACAAACGGCTCATTCTCATCGCTGATCATGTGCTTCGCTCTCCGGATCGGCTGCAGGAAGTTGGACTTGCTGCGTTTTTTCCCTCCTCGCTCGTCTTGACAGCCTTGTTTTCTCCTCCCCCTTTCTCCTGTTTTCCCTCTGGCTTCCATCTCTCTCTTCAGCCGGCCGTGAGAGAGAGACAAGAGCCGACAAGCTGGCTGTGTGAAGCCGCAGGAGCTGGCGGTGATCACCCCCCCTCCTTCTCACCCCGGACACAGAGAGCAGGTCATGGAGGCTCTGGCGGAGGAGAAGGGGCTCTGGGCGTCGGACGACTCGCAGCCCCTGCCTACTTTGAGCCCGGCCGTGCCACCCTACGTCACTTTGGGCCTGACGGTGGTCTACACCGTCTTTTACTCTCTCCTCTTCATCTTCATCTACATCCAGCTCTGGCTGGTCCTGCGGTACCGACACAAGCGCTTCAGCTACCAGACCGTGTTCCTGTTTCTGTGCCTGCTGTGGTCGGCGCTGCGCACCGTGCTTTTCTCCTTCTACTTCAAGAACTTTGTCACGGCCAACACTCTGGGACCCTTTCCCTTCTGGCTGCTCTATTGCTTCCCCGTTTGCCTGCAGTTCTTCACGCTCTGCCTCATGAACCTGTACTTTGCGCAGGTGAGTTGCTCAGATGTTATTTTTCTTTTTCGTGTGCCAGCACAGTGTTTGATTAATGAGGGAAGTCTATGTCTGGGCTAAAAAAATTGTGTCACACCCCAGCTGGTTTATAAACCAGTTAGTCCAACATCCAACTTGCAGTGTGATAATGAACTAGCAAACAAACTAAATGTGGGGCAAAGAGTAGATTTGAGTGGGATAATGTGGAAATGCTGAGAGCTGCTTTAAAACACTGATGTATGCGATTGTTCTGTGTATTCTACTGTCATGGAGGGAGGACGGGGAGAAAGGTGGACCACCTGGTCACTCTAGGTATAGCCTCCAGCCAGTCAAGGCAGATCGCTGCCCCTCTGTGAGCCTGATTCTGTTGGAGGTTTCTTCCTGATAAAAGGGAGTTCTTCATTCCCACTGTCGCCAGGTGCTTGCTCACAGAAGGTCATCTGATTGTTGGGGTTGTCATAGTACTTTTGTTGGGACTTTACCTTCCACTCTAAAGCACCTTGAGGAGACTGTTATTGTGATTTGGTGCTATATAAATAAAATTCATTTGCATTGAACAAGTTGGCCAGTTTAAACACATTTTGATAATATGGTAAATGACCTGTATTTGTATAGCGCTTTACTAGTCCCTAAGGACCCCAAAGCGCTTTACACATCCAGTCATCCACCCATCACACACAGGTAATGGCAAGCTACATTGTAGCCTCAGCCACCCTGGGGCGCACTGACAGAGGCGAGGCTGCCGGACACTGGCGCCACCGGTCCCTCTGACCACCCCTTTCAACGGGTGAAATGTCTTGCCCAAGGACACAACGACCGAGACTGTCCAAGCTGGGCCTCGAACCGGCAACCTTCCGATTACAAGGCGAACTCCCAACTCTTGAGCCACAATTGCCCCCTATGGACCTAATATAGGTCCATAAACCTCATGTCATAATTTTCTTATGCCCACCCACTATGGCTGGATGGATGGCTCTATTTATTTTTTAATTTTTCAGGATTTTGAATTTTAGAGAGGCATTGTCAGGATACAGGCCATGACCCCGGGCTTGACATGCCACTGTAACGGTGATTCATATAGGAAGTAAGTCGTCCACTGAATATTACCTGTTGCTCTCAGTGCAACAGACTCCCATTCACATCAGGTGCAAAAGTAGGATGCAGTGAATCATTCCTTCAACTGCTTACATAATCCAGATACAAAATAATAGCTCCTCTGGCCTCTGCCTGAAGCCTATTTTTAGCGTAAATCCTATTGCGCTTGATGTGAGTCACAGTTGCGAACGAGAAGCGAGGCTCAAAGCTTCTGAGGCCCTGCGCTGTGTGACCATTGCATATCCGAAGTTCAGCTCTAAATCGTTTTACAGCCTGGAGGTTCCTGTTTAATCAGAGTGTCTTGTGCGTTTCGGAGAGCAAGAACAGAGAAGTGAAAGCAGTCTGACACAAGGCCATTGCTCATTTGAATGAAACTGTTTGTTTCCTTTTCACAGGTTATTTTTAAGGCAAAGTCCAAATATGCACCGGAGCTTTTGAAGTACAGGTAAGACCAGCTGGTGGACTTAAATAAAATAAAGAGTCTTATTCTTTTTAATAGTAATTTTTGGGGTTAATAAATCTTTGCCTATTTTTGTTTCCTCACCACCAGGCTGCCACTGTATCTCACCTTCCTGTTCATCAGCCTGGTGTTTTTAGTTGTCAATTTGGTGTGCGCCCTGCTGGTGAGGATGTCCTCTGCAGAAGCCCACACCATCGTGCTGGTGAGGGTCGCGATCAACGACACGCTCTTCGTCCTGTGCGCCATCTCGCTGGCCTTGTGTCTTTACAAGATCGCCAAGATGTCGCTGGCCAACATTTACCTGGAGTCCAAGGTGAGATGTCCTGCAACTCAAAGTCAGGCAGGATTGGTGCGGTGTAGACTTCCTGAACACTGCCACTTACGACTGATTTAACAGCCGGTGCGTCACTAGCATCAAAAGGTATTGTGCACCCTTGTATGAAGAGTCACTTCTGCACATAATTTGTGCTTGCCACGTAGAGATAGTTCCCTAGCAACTGGGCGTCGTTCTTGTGCGTGACAAATTGTGCTGCGGTGCATACGAAAGCTTAAGGTTCGATGCGGTGTGGACATGCTTCTTGTATCCCAATCACACCTTAAAGATACAGAAATTTCTCCAGTGCATGAAGGAGGTCTGTTTTCCAAGTTTTGAGCATGCTGATGCAAAAAACCCAGCAGCACAGTTTCATGAAACTTAGTGGAGTGGTGAGGCGTGGAAAGGGGAAGCACATAATATTTTTAGTGACGATCTAGAGCACTTTCTTTAAGCCATTTCTTGACGTCTCACCAGTTTGTCTTCTTTTCAGCCTAACATGAATTCACGAGTCATTCTGTTTTGTTTTTTAAACTGAAGGGGACATCAGTGTGCCAGGTGACGATTATAGGAGCCATCGTCATCCTTCTGTACGCATCCAGGGCCTGCTACAATCTGGTGGTGTTGGCGCTCTCAAACAAGAGTATTAACTCCTTTGACTATGACTGGTACAACGTTTCAGACCAGGTGAATCACTGGGGGAGGGGGTTAACAGTTTGAGTGCCTTTTTCCGAAAATGTCATTTGGTTTCCTGTCTAACTGGATAAGAGGAATGATTGCTCTCTATAGTAAATCGATACCTCACAAAGAGACTGTAGGAAGTGTGGAAACAAGGGGAAGCAGCTATGCTAGCTCAGACCGGCCCATCTAAAGCTTACTTTTTTGTTTCTTTGCTCTGCTGCAAATATGTAACAAAAAGTGGGTTTTACTGCAAGTTCTAGAGAAATCAGTCTGTTTTCCAGCTCCTTTAAATATTTTATCTCTTATCTCTTAAAAGCCAATTAGCTGTGTTTGACTGTTCAGACTAGCTGGTCAGAATTTAGTAAGACTTGCATGTGTCCCCTTTTTGCTCTCATGTTATTCTAAAATGCATGCTTAAATTTTTTTTCTTTCAGGCAGACCTACAGTCGACTCTGGGCGACACCGGCTACATCGTCTTCGGAGTGATCTTGTTCGTGTGGGAGCTGCTCCCCACATCTCTTGTCGTTTTCTTCTTCAGAGTTCGACAGCCTAAACTGGACAGGGTGAGCCAGCAGTTACCTTAAACCAGTCAGGAACCCTCCTTGAGATCACAGGTTTATAAGGAGGACAGTTACCTTTGAGTGTTTGCGCTGATGCCTTCTGTTTGTCTTGCACCGCAGAGCGGCACTGGGCTTCCTGGTCACATCTTCTCCTCTAGGGCCTATTTCTTTGACAACCCGCGGCGTTACGACAGTGACGATGACCTAGCGTGGAGCATAATGCCCCAAAACATCCAAGCCAGGTAAGCGTGCCACAACCTGTTCCCTGGAAACTGCTGCACAGGAAAAAAATGTTCATGAGATGCTTCAAGTGTTTTGATTTTTGACTTTCTAGTCTCGCCGCCGACAGTTATGAGTGGGGGAGCCAAAGCGGCGGCATCGGCGCCTACATCGGCGATGACAGTTGCAACTTCACTCCTCCAGAGGAGCTCAGCCACTACTGACAGGAGGCCATGATGACTTCCTCGGACCTGTGGCTTTGTTTTTGTTTTTTTAAATTGTAAAGTTTTGCACACTGACTGACCGACCAAGGCACACTGGGATCAAAGTGCCCTTCAGACTACAAACATCCAATTTTCTATTTTGTCTAAAGAACTAATAGACTTTTGTTGCCAGTATGTATACAGACCCAGTAAAGGGACGTGATTTTGCACACACTTTGTACAAAGCCTGATCTGCTTGTAAAGGTTTATATTGAATATTACTTAATATATATCCTGATCTCTGTAATATGTCCTGTATTTCTGTTTTATGTAACATCTATGAAGAAATTTCCTTTTTTCCATACAGATTTGTTTATATAGAGAAGATATTCATTTAGTTCATATTAAAAAACAAAAAAGAAAAATACTGTACAAATGAAGTTTAGTTTTAATATCACACCAGAATAGTTTCTATGTGGATCACGTACAGCTTTGGCAGCTACAGATTCTCATCTTTTTGTACAAAAAATGTGTGGAGACTTCTGTAGCACCTGGAGTCATCTATGACATTAACACATGAGGAGTATGTCTTTTCCTTTTAGGAATCTAGTAATTCTCAGTACATAAATGTCAGTGCCTTGAGCTAGATAAGCACAAGAAACTAACGGTAAAGATACTTGACTTCAACAGTCTTGCTAGAAAGCAGAAAGAGATGGCTTTCCTCTCCAGCTTCTATTAATGAAACACTCAAAGGAGAACTCACAAGGGTTTGTGGTCACTTAGGAACAGAAAATCAAAAAAACAAGATTAGGTACTGATGACTAAACTCTCTTTAGGGAGTGATCCATTTTCTTTGAACACCTGACAACGAGGACTTGTCCTCTCTGCTATTGGAAGCGTGGGGGGTCATCTTCAAAGATCTGAAGCCTTCTCCAAAGACTAAAGAAGAGTGAATAGAAACTGTGTCTGGCAGGTGATTTAAAAGAACCTCAACATTGTGTCAAATTGTTCTACAGTAAATGAGATTTCAGCGCAGCATCTGCAGATGACTAGAAAAAACTGGATAGCTGAGATAACCACATTGATGAAAACCAAATAGAGCTTGCTAGAAGAATAACCTCATTTCCCCCATGACAAGATGATGGCGCAGATGTTACAGTTTGTGGTTGCTTCACTGCCTCTGAAATTTGGCAGCGTGCAGTTGTGGGTTTCACAATGGAAAAAAAGCCAGTTACTACTATTCAAATCTAATCTATCTGTACTTAATGCGATGGAGCATTTTAATTTCTGTCCTTTTAAACTGCAACTCCAATATCACAAATTTTAGCTGTGTCACCTTTACTCATGGCAAATCTTCAAACCCTACATAACACAAATAGGTTTAGGTGAACCCATGACGACTGTTACATAATGATCATGCTCAGTGACTAATAACAGCTTCTGCAGCCCTGACACATTTTCCCATTGAGCTTTGATGAAAAGGAGAGCACTTCTGAGCACAGACACGTCAGCTCTTCTCTAGAACGTAACTGCGTAAAATAACGAAAAACCAAAAAGAGCACAAAGACAGCATATCAATTGTTGAAACTGAGAAATTTTTATTTTTATTTCCAAAAATAGATGCTCATTTCAATTTGAAGCCAGCAACGCATCTACGGACAAAAAACCTCCAAACAAACAAACAAAAAAAAGATGCAGTACAGCAAGTTTCCTGCAGGGAGCAGCACAGATCTTTGTACTGTATATGGTGCAACCAGGACTGCACATAAAAACAGAGTCCTTGTCAAGGATACTGTCTAAGCATGTGTCTTGCAAACTTGATGTTGAGTCCGATAATTCATGTTAAGCCTGAATAATGTGAGGAAAAACTGCATAAGACTGTTTGACATTGGAAAATGACGATTTGCAATAAAACCAAATCTGAAAAGTGCTTTTAGCAACACAGTTCATGCCTTTTTTAAAAAATTTTTTTTTTTTTTGGGGGGTTTTTTTTTTTTTTGGGGGGGGGGGGCTTGCACTTGCTTAGAGAGTTCAAATACTGCTTAGTCCAGACATGCTGGATTAAAACAAATTAAACACGCTTTAAAAATATTTGCTCATGCAGCGTGTGGAAGGTTGGTATGCGTAAATAAACTGACTCAGAAATCACGTTTCAGGTAGCCTTAAGATGCATTTCTGCGCATATTCACATTGCGACGCTGAAAATACAAATGATCAGTCAGCGCGAGTTCATGTATCCTCCATTAGCATCTACTGCGCTGCAGAAGAACTTAAACTAAGACGTTCTGTCGGGAATCTGAATTTTAGATCATTTCTGAAATGACTGCAAACATAAGCACATACAGTAGCTTATTATAACAGCTGATTCATTGTGAAAAGCATAACACATGACAAATTTGCAGAACACTGTACCTTTAAGAAATAAACAGCAAAAAAAAGAAAAAAAAAGATGAAGACTTGCTCTGAGCTTAATACCTGTTCAAAGCAAATGGCTGAAAATGTCAGTTGTAACATAAGCTTCCTTCACCAGAGGTGAAAGAAAATAGAGCAAAAACAACATACTATCCCTTTCAGTACAATGTTATGACATTCAAGTTCCGCTGGGTCGCAGAGGTTGGCTGAAAATGAACAGAAATCACCAGATTTTTGTCTGTTTTTTCTCTCTCCATAAGCACAGATCTTCCACCCACTCATACTAAAATCTGCTATATGGCAGTTAAAACACACACTCGCACGCTCACTATAGGCCACATTCTTAGGACAGAGCACTTAATGGCTGTTTGCAGGGGAACTGTGCATGCCACTAGCTGGGATCTGACGATTTGTTGAGATCAACCTTTACTCCTTTATCCCCCGCACCTGCACGCAAGGGAAACAAACACACAAGAGATGACGTAAGACATCACAAAGGGGTTGATACCCAGAAGCAAAGACTGTGCAGTTGATACGCTAAATCCTACCTGTTAAGTACTTTTCTTTAGCTCTGGCTCGCTCGTCTGCGTCAAAATACCACACAGTGATGGCATACCTGTGAAGATGGAACGGGAGCAGTGAGCCTCCCGTAAAAGAGAACGAGACTGTCTGAGCATGTGCAGCGGACACACTTAGACACTGACCTTGTGGCGTAAGCGGGCTGAACCTCGTGAGGGTTCCGTCTGTCCGACCAGAACAAAAGCAGACGGTCAAATTTTGGCTCTATGTCGGCAAACTGGGCCTTTCCCTCTGGGAAGATTCGAAGAAGGCCTCCATGTTCCTGGAAGAGCAGAACACGAATAAACAACCCCATTATGTATACAAATCAGGACAAAGCAATAGCAGGAAGGTAAAGCGAGACCGTAGGAAGCAAACATATGTGAAGCTTCTGCAGTGATCACATCTCTGGACTTAATCTTCATCGCTGACAGGTAACTATTCAGAGACAGGAGGCCCCCACAATAAACACATGTACTACTCATAAAACAGACACTTAAAAGCTTCTTAAGTTATCAACGTGGAACGATAGTGTCGAAGGAAAAGGGCTGTCCAACTCCAAGGGCAAGGAGGAAAGCTCAGGATAGGAAGCAGCAGCGGGGGACGGCTTTCCTGTGGAGGGATAGGAAGAATAACCCACAGGAAAACTGCTGTGGCTGGATAAAGGAGCTGGGGAGTGAAAAAGCAGATTGCTGCAAGCGTGCCGCTTAAACTCTCACACAGCTGATATGATAGCCCTCTCTTCACACGCAAGCTGGCACAGTATAAAGGCTCACACCCTAATGTAATGCTATTCCCATGTACAGTGAATGAGGGGGAATGCCAATGGTGTGACCAAACTAAATAAAGCACAATAGCGACAAAGAAGATGAGAGAAATGGTTTTCCCCTGCAATTTGAGTCAACGAGCTCAGGGACCACTCATTTTAACAGCAGTTTAACTCCATGTATGTGATTTTAATTTAATTCTATTTATACAGCGCCAAACCTCAGCAACAGTTGCTTCAACGCACTTTATATTCTAAGGTAAAGACCCTACAATAATGGAGAGAAAACCACAACAATCCGTCAACGTCCATGACACCCTAATTGGCGAAAGTGGGAAGGAAAATCTCCAGTTTAACAGGAAGTACTTTCAGAACCAGGCTCAGGGAGGGGCAGCCACCTGGCCTGACCATTATTATGCAGGCCTGCAGATGAGGTTGTATGGATTAACCCAACCAGGATTACCCTTTGCCTAAAGGGCACGACCTCCTGACCCACATGGAGCTGAACTGAACATGCTGAATGCAGCAAATGCTAGCATGGCTATAGACTCTTAGGCTATCCTCAAATACAGAATCAGGGCTGGAGTCCATCCTGTAGTTCATCCAGTCAGTAAAGTCATGTAAGTCGAAAAAAAGCCCAAGACATGATTGGAATTAATATTCAATAGTTAGCTGTGCTCTGGATCACCAGTGCAACTCTTTATTATTGATTACAGCTAATTACATCAACAGATTGCCACAAACTATTGTCCTTATGCTCAATAGTTCAGATCTGGCGTTTGGAATTATTTTGGTTTTCATGTGACGTATGACCCTGAAGGTAAGCGCGTCATGAACTAAAATAAAACAGTATGTTGGATGTGCCACGCAATGCTCAATTACATGGGTGGGAACTAGTATGTTA